TTTTTCTTTCATTTAGGTTCTTTTACATCTACAATAACATTATTCTGGTGCTTTTTACTAGCATGCTAAAATTTTTTGTGCAATTCATCTTTAGGTGTCAATCAACCACCTACTAAAATGTCTCCCTGCTTTTATCTGTATATTCTAATTACATTATTTCTTTGTAATAAACTTTGTTAAAAATTATTAACATCGTATTTTTCAGTTCTAAGACATAATCATTATAAAATGCAACATTGATTTAATAGACTTGAGGAAGAAAAATTCATTAAGTATACATATTTATTGTAAAATGAATCCCAATTTCATAAGCATCAAAGTGTGAAGGCATGTGTCTTCTCATTAAGAAAGTGCAATAAATTAATCAAATGCCTCAAGATGTGATGAATTGATGTTGGCTGTTTTTGTCATCTCCCATATCTTGTTGTTGTCCTTGTTATTTTGGTCACATACACCAATATTTACTACAACCGATTACCCTGCTTGAGGAATTCATAAATTTACCTAAATCAAACAGGTATTGTATCAGTATTTAACTGATGCTTGTTTATAAGTTCACATATATTTTAATTTTATATGCTTTGGGCCTTTATTCTAAGATCTCAACAATTGTCTCAAGTTTATATTACTTAAAAATTTTAATTTAAAAAGGCAACTTACAATCAACCATAGGTAGAAGTTATTTTATGCCCAGGAAAGTTTGCAGAATTATAAGATGTATCCATTCTACTATCTCTGGAGGTTTCATTGAGCAGCAAGGCTCTTGCTCACATTCCAGAGTATTTATGGTGTACCCCCACTAAAATCCCAGGCTTGTAATATGAGACTAAGTTCTTTTTCTACTTTCCAGGAATTCTTCCCTGGGAACTTCAGTTGTTCAAAGAATCATTTTTACGGTTTTGCAAATGGTATTTTCCCATGACTTAGAGATGAATAAAATTCTGCTTTGGTCAATTGCCCTTTTATGTAGCTAGGGGAGATAGCCCTGCTGCTCTCAGTCTGGGGTTTTCATGTATGTCGAATTCTAACCAGCCAAAAACAGGTGTTAACGTTTCCTTTGTCATTGTAGTCACTTCTAATAGAAAAAAAGATATGACATATATTGTATTATTTGTTTTCTTTGAAAATTTTTTTGTAAGATGCTATGTCTTTCACATATATGTTGTTGAACTGAGCACAACCTGAAAGATTTGGATATTCGACTTCTCTCTTAGCAATAGAGACTGCTTTCCATGGTAAATAGCAACAATTAAACTTATCAGTCCCATCCTATTCAACCAAATTTAACCAGGCAACTTTTCAAGAATTTAAGGTCAGAATCCCAACATCTTAGCTACATTTCTGAATCTAAAAGGATGCCAGGGGCCGGCCCGGTGGCACACTGGATAAGTGCGCTGCTTGGGAAGCGCGGCGGTGCTCCCGCCCGAGGGTTCGGATCCCACATACAGACCGGTTCCGCTCACTGGCTGAGCGAGGCGCGGGAGCAACACCGAGGGTTGCGGTCCCGTTGCCGGTCCCCGGTCCGGTACGGGGGCAACACTGAGGGTTGCGATCCGTTGCCGGACACGGAAAAAGACAAAAGACAAAAAAAAAAAAAAGGATGCCAGGACCAAAGCTGCCTTTTAAAGAAGGAAAACAGTAAACTTTGCTCCCATCAATTATATTTTCTAGAACTTCTGCAAATTTGAAAATGTATGTGCAATGAATCAGATATCGACAATTGAAAAGTAACTGCTGTTGGGAAGTAATGTCGGATCATCTAGAGAAAGAATATTTCATAATTCTCTGAAGCACTGCTTAATATGTGTTCCTTAATAGCCTAAAATAATTTCGCATGGCCCCAAGTAGTCTTAACATTTAGTGGACTTTGAAACTACTCTCACCCATCAAATTTTTGCTGAAAAAAACAGATTATCTTCCTTTTATTTTAGTTTTATGAAAATATGTGAGTACTCTTTTCTCAATCATTTTGCATTCTAAACAATTAGCTAGTTTTCATTATGCACTATGCACACACACACACACAAACCCCAAAAAACCCAACCACAAAACCTGTATAAAGTGTTCATTTGACTCAAAATGGCTCCAGTTTCTAGTTTACATATAATAAAACAAACACTTGTCTAGGATGTGGTTGACTTTTTAAACTTCATTTTCATTAATTTCTATAGGACTTAAAATCAAGATCCTTTACATATTTCATTAAATAAAATTCAAAGTACTGAATTAAATTTATGGCAAATAATATTATAGAAAAGTTGCAAGGTATTTTATTTTTGATTATGCAACATTTTAATTATCTAACAGCCTTCTGAAATACAGAATTCTTGTGACAGCTCAGAAATATCTATACTTTTTCAAATGCACAATTTTGTGAAATATTTATGGATATTCCAGGAGAAGAATTCAAAAGTGAACTAAGTTTGGGAAGTGCTAACTACTGTATAATTTCTTGACTCTACTCCCATTCCCAGTGCACATCAACAAATAGGGCTTTGAGAGGTCCTTCAGCAAACACACACACACACACACACACACACACACACGCTCCCATACACCACAATGAAATACAAGCATTTAACTTTAGCCTAGCATTTTCCAAGCTTCTTTGACCACAAAATGCTTCTTCCTAAGAATCTCAAATTCCGCAGTATCCAGTGAGTCACCACTTGGGTTCTGAAGCAATAACATTAAAAGTCTCTATATATTACATTAGTTACTCTGTTAAAAAGTAACAAAACATAATCCCTGGTTGACAGTTTTGGGAAAAAAAATTTCAGACCAGTAAATAGTTGTGGTAAATATTCTAACAGATTATACAAATATGTACTATTTTACCTCTTCTTGTCAGGAAATTTTTTAAAGCATTTAAAAATTTTGCCAATTCCTCTTTCCCCCTCCCCTGCCATCAACATCATATATGTTCACTTGTCTTAACAAGTTCAAGGAATTGTTGTGATTGCTGTGTCTTATTCCCCATTTATTTGTTTGTATATTTATTTATGTATTTATTTTTAGCTCCCACAAATAAGTGAAAACGTGGTATTTCTCTTTCTGTGCCTGCCTTATTTCACTTAATATAATTTTCTCTAAGTCCATCCATGCTGTTGCGAATGGTAGTATTTCATTCGTTTTTATAGCAGAGTAAAATTCCATTGTGTAGATTTACCACATTTTCCTTATCCACTCATCAGATGATGGACATTTGGGCTGGTTCCAATTCTTGGCTATTGTAAACAGCACTGCAATAAACATGTGGTACTGGTATCCCTTTGACATGATGATTTCCATCCTTCTGGGTATATTCCCAGCAGTGGAATAGCTGGGTCATATGGTAGATCTCTCTAATTGTTTGAGGAACCTCCATACCATTTTCCATAAAGGCTGCACCATTTTGCAGTCCCACCAACAGTGTATGAGGGTTCCTTTTTCTCTGCAACCTCTCCAACATTTATCATTCTCAGTCTTTTGGTATTAACCATCCTAACAGGAGTGAGATGATATCTCAGTGTGGTTTTGATTTGCATTTCCTGATGCTGAGTGATGTTGAGCATTTCTTCGTGTGTCTGTTGGCCATTCGTATATCTTCCTTTTAAAGTACTTTTTAATTAACATTAATGTGCATGTACTTTTTGTATCCTATACTGTACATTCACATATGCTTATATTTTGAAATCCACAATTATTCTAGTTTTTTAAGTACAAAGATTATAGTTATTTTGACAAACATTATCTTCATGCTTTGAGAGGGGAGGGGTAAAGGTTCAGATAACACCGAATGCCTCTGTAAGCATCTAAAATGTGAATTTTGCAGTTCAGATATTTTAGAAAAGGGGACTATTCAGTGCCTCTGCACATAAACACATTCTGAATTTTACAAATGTTCATAGGTGAATATTAAGAAATTGTACAGCACTGGCCAACACCAGTATAATCTTGGGGAAAATGTTTACCAAGTTTCTAAATATTGGCACACTTAGACAAATCAATTTATATAAGTTAATCTTGACTTTTGTTTCTTAAATACAGGAGGGGAATTAATCTTAAGGTTGTCTGGGTGAAAATGAGTTCTCGAACAGTGCACACAGGCTATTATGTCTGTGTCCAAATGAATATAATATGTGAATAATGTCTATCACTGACTTCAGTTACAGATTAAGAACTTGAAAACCACCTTAGCTGTTGATTTCACATAGGTTTGATTTTTAGTGTTAATTTCTTCCCTACCCTATGGTCAGATAGAACGCTTGCATGGAGTTCCATTATTTTTAAATCTCCACTTTCATTTGGATTACCTTATTCTCTCACCTTTCGTTTATTATTTTTCCTTTTTTACCTGAAATACTCAAGTTTAACCTTTCAGGTACCAAGTCTTCTAAGGTCTCCTCAGCAGTCAAACGTGTTTTGTGTAGTTTCTCTTCTTCTTTTTCAGACTTCTCTTTCCTCAGGGTACTTGGGATGAAGTCCTTTTCTCCTTGACTTTGTACTCCTATCTCTTGTTTCAGATGAAGAGGATCCCTCCCCGCCTAGTGCCCTGCCTCCAGGTTAGGACGATTCCCACCCCCTACCCTACTTTTTAATCTATTACTAATTGACAGTAAAAGAAAACAAAAGGCCTTGCTGAGTCAGTGCACAGAGCAGGGGCACCAGGTTTTGCCTGTGCCAGCACCAGGGAAAATGTTGGCTTTAATGACAATTTTTTGTGTGACATGAGAATTTAAAAAGAGGCTTTCTTTGTGAAATAAATAATACTAGTAAATCTTGGGTATAAATTTTAGGGGTGAAAATGTTTGTCTTCCGTTTCCAGCTATGTACCCTTTTCCCATATTCTTTAAATTTAGATATTTGAATCTTTAAATTTTTATTATTGTTTTAAAGTAAAAGACATATACTTTTATAGATGCTTTCACAGCTGGAGCTCTACTGATTTTCCATCCAAGCCAACTTCTAGTTTTTTTCTCCCCATCACCAGAAGAGACAGGGTTTGGGGGAAGAATCCAAGAAGACTGAAGTCAGCAGTCCATTTTCCTCCTTTCCCCCACCCCCTCGCATCATCCAAATCACGCTTTCCTTTCAGGTTTGGGTAGTCGGGCCCTGGAAAGAAAAGATTCAGGTGAGCACACGCCCAGACAAGGCATCCTGACCCCATCCTAATACAATCACTAATGACTTCATTTCTTGAAGCTGTATTGACTCTAATCCTTGTTTTATTCAGTTTGGAGCTTTTATAGCAATCTTTCATTACATTTCCTCTTACAAGAAAACTAATGTATTGAGAAACAATTAATTTTGCATGATACACACACAGTCAATCTAGCCACATATACCGCAGGTTTGTTTGTAAGGTTTGTTTGTTTTATTAGAACTATCACTTTTAACATTTAGCAAATACAAAGAGATCAATCTCCATTCCTGAGATGGGCTGAAGTTAGATAATAATTCACATTTGTATAGAACTTTACACCCAGGTGATAAAACCCTCTCAAATGCATCCTGTCAGCTGTGGCTACAATTCTTTGAGGTTATTTACTCATTCATTCATTCAAAAAATTTGCGTTGAGGGCCTGATGACCCTATGATGGGCCTCTTCTGGGTCAGCCACTCTTGTAGGCACTGCTGGTATAGAAGTGAACAAAACAATAAAAATAAAACATGTCCTCATGTTCTCCCCATGAATGGTCACCATTCACTGTTACAATTAAGATCACAGACACACACAACATACAATTTTAACATTATCTTGGGTATTAAAAAAATTGTGTAATCATGTGACTGCATTGCTTAACTTCATTGTCTCCTATGCATAGAAATGTCTAGCATAATTGATACAACAACTAAAACAATTACAAGTGCATTTTCCTTCTTTTCAAGAAACTAACAAGTAGAGGGTTGTGGATCCATGTATTTTTTTCCCAGTTGTTAAGTGGCTAAAACTAAACTTCTCTGCATTCAGCTCAGAGACAGAGGAAAAGTCTACAGTTCTCTCTCCTACCCTCCTTATTGCAATTGACTGCAGATCAATACCCATGAAGCACCCACGTGCTAACTAGAAAATACAAAATAAACTTCATTTCCAGCTTGTGTCTCTTCATGGGAAGGCCTCAGTTTCTTTTTCTTTCATTTTTCTGCTCCCTCCCCTCCACCCCACCTGGAGGACACTCCTAGTATTCTTAAAATTTGTACCTGCAGGTCATGATCTGTTACCAAATCTGTACAACCTGAATAGGATTGCCTAATCACAAAACAGCAAGGAATCTAGAAATTCCAGGCCAGGCTTGGCTCTCTGACCCTCATCAGACAGTTCACCCTCAAATGGACCCATCCCTTTAGTCTTTTCCAATTCTGTTGTGTAGATGTGGCCTCTTAGTCAGTCACCTGGAAAAACACTTGAGAGGACTGCTTTCATATGGTCACTGCCGTTGCTTATCTATTAGGGGACAGGCAGGATGGGGAAGCAAAGGAAACTTGGCTGCCAACAAAGACAGAGTAACAACTTACCTGAGAAGTTGCACTATTTCTAGGAATTAGAAAATGTTCCTTTGCCCTGGCAGGGAAGAGACATCCCTGTAAGAATGGGAATCTGTCTCTCTCTACTGATGCTCCTGGGGGCAGAGAGAATGATGTTCTACTTATCTAGGTTTATTAGACAAAGAGATGCATCGGCATTGATGTAAACAAACCTAGGTAAGTCTGCCTACAAAGAACCTGGCCCTCTGGGGGCAGAGAGAATGATGTTCTACTTATCTAGGTTTATTAGACAAAGAGATGCATCGGCGTTGATGTAAACAAACCTAGGTAAGTCTGCCTACAAAGAACCTGGCCCTGAAATGATCCTTTTCCTCCTTTCTGCTCATTAGAATGGTCTCTTGGCGAATCACCTGCTGGGGAGGAACAAGACAAGCAGAATGCCAACTCTCAGCTGTCCACCCTGCTCATTGAGAAACCTCAGTCAGGAACGGTGAAAGTTGGTGAGCGCCTAGCATTAAATCCTGCCTTTTTTGTGTAGGTGAAATTCGCACATCATAAAATTAACCATTTTAAAATGAACAATTCAGTGGTTATGGTATATTTACCATGTTGTGCTACTAACTAGTTCCAAAACATTTTCACCCCCAAAAGACCCTGTACCCCTTTAAGCAGTTACTCCCCATTGCCTCCTCCCCACATGCCCTGGCGACCGCTCATCTGTTTTGTCTCTATAGATTTACCTATTCTGGATATTTCATATAAATGGAATCATATAATCAATGACCTTCTGTGTCTGGCTGCTTTCACTTAGCATGTTTTTAAGGTCCATCCACGTTGTAGCACTTATCAGTATTTCATTCCATTTTGTGGCTGAGTAATATTCCATTGTATGTATATACTAAATCCTGCACTTGTTACCTAAAAAAGTGACTAACAGCCATTATTTCAGTAATTTTAGAGGAGTCCAGTGCCTGGACCCTGAAACCAGACAGTTTGGGTTCAAATCTTGGTTCTGCTTCTTGCCAGCTGTTGTCCCTTGGCAGGCAGTTTAGCCTCCTTCTGCCTCAGTTTCCTCATCTGTAAAATGGGGATAACAGGAGGACCTACTGTGAAGTACTTCGAACAGTGCCTGGCATATCAAGCTCTGAGCAGGTGTCTGCTGTCATTATGACACAACTCTTTCTATAAGATGACTACAAATCTGCACGTACACTAGACTATAACGTGCAATATCTCAGAAGCAGCTGGTCGGACAGATGGTTCAACTTTTGAAATATTCATTCAAAAAATATTGATTACATATCTCCTGTTTTAGGCACTGTGCCGAACAGTGAGCATAACATGAGAATCAGAACTTAGTCTAAGGAGATGAGCAGACAGTAAGAAATTACACAAACATCACCAAAGCCAACTGCCATGAAGGAAATAAACAGGGTGGGAGCTAGAAAAAGACCTGGGGTTCAAGAATTTTAATTATATACACTTTTATAAGGAATATATTATGATCAGAACTAGTGTTTGACACTCATCAGCTATTACGCAAATGAGCACATCGCTAACTATATTCCAGAGTTACTTCTTTCAGGTCTAGAATGTAGGAACACAGTGTGTGAATGGAAACGTAGCTCCCTTTGTATTCCTGTAAGACACTGAAATGCTGAGCTGACAGCTGGGCTAGAGTTCTGATGTCCTCAGGGTCTAATCAGTCAATACAAACAGATGGGCACGGTCATCACACACAGATTAGTTTCATTTAGTCATATTCCCATAATTTCAGGATTTCCATCACTTTGCCTTAAAAAAGGATGGAAAATATCTATCTATATATATATATATCTATATATATCTATATAGATATATATAGATATATATATATATATTTCTCTTTTTTATTTTTATTTCATATACATATATAGAAATCCATATATAAAAATTATTTCCACTGATTTCCCCGGTGCTCTTTTTCTGCTCCATAAACCTCAAAAGCAGAACAAGGTAGAATATCCTAAGAATATCTAGGGAACTTATAAAAAATCAGGGCAAATTCATTGTACAATTCTGGGGCACTGATTGCATTACAGTCTATGCAGTGAAATCCTGTGACAACTCCTTCCAGTTGAAAGCAAAACAAATGACAATTTTTAAACCCACAGGCTAAATCACTTATGCTTTTTCTAGGTGAAAATATCACCTTTATAGCCAAAGTCAAGGCTGAAGATCTTCTTAGAAAACCCACTATCAAGTGGTTCAAAGGGAAATGGATGGATCTGGCCAGCAAAGCTGGGAAGCACCTCCAACTGAAGGAGACCTTTGAAAGGCAAACTCGGGTATGGCCCTGAACACCTGGCACAGGGGCTCAGCTAGCTCATTCCTTCTTTTTGGGTATGATGTCATTCTCAGATTTAGCTTTGAGAGATTTCAGTCCCAGAAAATTCTCTGGAGTTACCATTCCTAGTGTCTACAATCTATTGTGATTGCCCCATTGTGCCCAGGGGCTGTGGGACACATTTAATCTCCTATATTGTGAAGGTTGTAGACGCATTTTACAGTCAATGCTAAGGAATTTGGAAAATGATGAAATGTGATGGCCCCTTTCACAAGGGAAGGACTGCAGCGTGTCTGGATACATTTCATTGCAGGTGTACACATTTGAGATGCAGATCATCAAGGCCAAAGAGAACTTTGGTGGAAACTACAGATGCGAGGTCACCTATAAGGATAAGTTTGACAGCTGTTCATTTGATCTTGAAGTGCATGGTAAGAGAACTCTCTTGCCTGGATAAATGTGATTTTTTTATGGAGTTTGAGGGCATGGCAAAGAAGGTCATTTAAATCTATAAGATTGGTGGGGGGGAGATTTTCCTTTAAAACTGTGTGTTTCTGTTGTGATAGTCTCAGTAAGCCTGCTGAATTAAATTGTGTGGGACAATTTAAAAATGGAATTTGGAGAATTTTATCGCTAAATATCTCTTGTCCATGCTATCTATATCCCCTCAACCTCCCAGATAAGGAATGATGTCATTTTTTACTGCAACAGAAAGTATCTGTTTCTTTTTTTTTGGGGGGGGGGGGGGCTGGTTGGTATCGGAATCCAAACTCTTGACCTTAGTATTATAACACCATTTTCTAACCAACTGAACTAACCAACCAGCCATGTTTCATTGGGTCCACTTTCCCATGCAGGTTTGGGGATAAGGTAATCTGGGTATGAGGATGTTTGGATATCCAAGTGGAAAGGAGATCTTCTCTTACAAGGATTAATGTCAGATATGGAAGTTCTCCACCCGTATGTTCTGTGTACATCCCAGAGGGAACTTAATGAGGATAGAGTAAAGGTATACATATAGGCGGGGGGGAAAAACCACTTTTATAAATAGAAATAGAGAAAGTTAACTTGGCACCAAAGATCACAAACTTAAGATGAATTCAAAGTGTGATATAACGGCAAAAGACAAACAAAGCTAATATAATTTTAAACTGAGTTACTCCAACTGGTATAGAATCTAGGTTTAGGGAATGATACTTCTCTCTGCAACATGCCACTTGTTCTACATTTGGAGTGATGTCTCTGGCCATGGGCACCATACCTCAACCTGGACCCCTTCTGGAGTAGGGTAATCAGGAAGACAGAAACCATTCCCTATCTAGCTTGAGTGTGTAGGTGAAGGAAGTCAGACATCTGTGGTCCGTTGCAAAGAGGAGAAGGGCTGTCACATGGAAGGAAAAGGCCCTTTTTCGTGTATTCAAGAAGCATTTAGGTAGATTAAAATGAAAAGGCGGAAATTTTGTAGAAGTGAATTTTGTCTTAACATTAGATTGAGGACTTTCATTAAAGCTACATAGATAGCCTGGAAGGTTGAGTGATTCCCATTCTGAGAGATGTCAAGCAGAGGCTGGATGATTGTGGGTCTGGGAAGTGTTGAGATTTCTATATCAAGTAGGAAGCTGGTCCTGAGCAGCGCAGCTTCACCCTGGCCAGGCATCTTTGAGAATCACCTGGGGGGCTTTTTAAGAATATTGGTTTGTGGGGACCCCTCCTCGATCTGACAGATCAACATCTCCAGCAGGGAGGATAAAGTAGCTGATATTTTTTTTAAGTTCCTTGGGTGATTCGAACAGGCAGGCAGGTCAAATGACAACTGGAAAAGGTAACCCCTAAGGTCCCTTCATTCATTCAAGAAGGAGAATGAGGCATGAGGATGCTTGGGCCACTCGGCCACACAGGGGAGGGCCACCCCCTTCACCAGACATTCTTGCCAACTGAAGAAGTCTCCCCCTAAGGTCCCTTCATTCATTCAAGAAGGAGAATGAGGCATGAGGATGCTTGGGCCACTCAGCCACACAGGGGAGGGCCACCCCCTTCACCAGACATTCTTGCCAACTGAAGAAGTCTTGTAGCCAGCACAGGAACTGAACATAAAGCTCCCTTCTTAATGAGTACTTATTTTATTGTTTTCTTTCCTTTCAAAGAATCCACTGGAACTACTCCAAACATTGACATCAGATCTGCTTTCAAGAGAAGGTAACTTCAAAAGGGGAATCGAGATCGCTTTTGTATAAAAATGAAAGTGGAGGATTCTCAAGACACACTTCCCTTCCTCCACACTCCATATTCCAACTAAGAGCAACCCTTTTCACCAGTCAAACATACGATATGTTTAAAAGTTGGTGTTCTAAAAAAGGCATGGGTTTATCAGGCATATATTGATCATTTTTAAGAATATTCTTGCTATAGTGAAGCTCTCATGTTTGCAGGTTTCACAGTTGCCTTAGAAAGACACACCTTCAATTTATTCATATGTGGCTTCATCCTTAATTGCATTATTTTCCACAAAATGGCCAAAGAGACGTATAAAGAGATGCATTTCATATAGGATCAGTTAAGTAAAGTCAGAAAACTTTTATTTCTATTGCTTTTCATGTACAAATCACTTACAGAGCTACTAAACCATGTGCCAGAAAACCACAATTAAGTAGTTACTTACTGAAGTTAGCATGATGTAATATTGGATTATCCTAAATGAAAGACCACCGAGTCTGCTGGCATTAAGAATAGTGTAGAAAGTCAATATTTAGATACCTATTTAATTTATTTTTGCAGATGCCAAGGCCGAAAAAGCAGGGGGTCAAGGAAGAAAAATGAAAATGTTTTCTAGTCTCTGAGAAACGTAACTATTACATTACTCTCCTGCCATTATATTGCTCTCTGTACTTAATTATTCCATAATATAAATTCTTCAATGAGAGTAAATGTTTTGTTCTTCCTGAGAGAGAATCCACATACAGTTTTGTTAAGTAAGGAAAACCATCCCAGAGTATTATAAAATAATGATTTAGTTTCTTAATAAAAGACATATTTCCCTGCTAAATTATAAATAAATCAAAATTTTAATTACTTTAAAAATATATTTAATATTACCTGATCAGTTGATTGGTCTTTTTTAATTTTTTAAAATGATATAACTTTCAAATCCTATTACTTTCCTTACACTTTCCCTTCATCCGATGCTCAGCAATTGCATAGGTTTAAAACTACACTAGTACCACGTACAAGTTTATCTTAGGAGTTTTGTGCTTTAAAAGAATAGAAATGTGTTTACTTCAAAAGGCCTCCAAACACCAGCTGTTAACGAAAGTTTGAAAACACATATTTGAGTTTAATTTTTATGACTTACCTATTATACACACTGTTTTTAAACCCGCAGACTCTTTTCTTAGAAACCATAACTAACATTTGTAAAGAGCAGGAAACAAAATCTTCATTAAAAAATTAAACATGTAAGTAAATATGCAGTGGCATTTAAATGTCAGCTCCATAGCTTCTATTTAGAGTTTATATGAAATCACAGCGGTGGTTGCATGCCGAATTTAAGATGCATTTCTCTATAGGAAAGCACTTTTAGAAACTACTAGTAAAGGGTTCATTGACAAGTCAAAGACAAATTTTTGAAGATTACGTTTAAAAAGGTATACATATTAACAAGGAAATTAAAAGATTATAATTATTGCCCTTTAAAACAGAAAGGAATGCATCTTTTAAAAAGCTCTGTGCTAGCTCCATTTTTATGCTATGTTGGTATCACCCTATTGATTCATCTGTTCATGGACACAAAGAGGTTACCTTTGAATATAAGGCTTTGTACTTATATATCTGACATTGGTACACTTTGTCCTCCAAGCCCATCTCTGTCTTACGTGAATAACAGAGATCAGCAAAAGTCCTTTGCTTTTTACACAGTTTGTTTCTAGAGCCCCCAACTTGCAAAAACAAAGTACTTTGTGTTGCTTGGCTTAAGTGCATTTGTGTTACCCAATTTTAACACAAATCCAAGCAGTTTTATATATGCAATCTACAAAAATGTGTCTTCTGAAATCATAGAGTAACACAAGCTCCTCATGTTTACTTTTCCACAAGTACATATTCCAAAAACTTAGAATGTTACTTGTGTGAAAAGAAATGGTTTGTGTTGATTTAGTGTTTGTGTGCTGGTACAAAATTGCATATACATTACATGTAGAGTGTTTGGGGGAAACTTGTGAATGTCTCGGCATTAAAACCAGATTTGCTTTTCTTTTGTTAATGACAGTGGAGAAGGTCAAGAGGATGCAGGAGAACTTGACTTTAGTGGTCTCCTGAAACGTAGGTGAGAATCAAGTGATGGACTGAGGCACTGTGGCCTGGAAATCTTTTAGACACCCACTAAGAGAAGTCAAGTTTAAAGTGGATGTTTTTCAAAGAATTTTTCTTTTCTTAAAATGTGTTTTGCTTATAGAGTCAACTAAGAAAGAGAGAAACAACTGTATACTAATCTGTTAATGACTTTAGCTGATACTTTAAAATTTTCGTGTTAAGTGTTTCATGAGTCTTCACATATTTTCATAGTTGGAGATGAAGAGATTTGAAAACTGAGACATAAGACCTAAATATAACCAGAAACCTCTCAGACTGTACACATGATTCCTTCTCATGATCAAATAAACTGAATAAATAAAGCCTCCATGATATTTGACCAAGAAATTAACTTCACAATGTTGGTAGAAGTCTCTGCAGGTGTATATATATTTTAAAAGGTAGACCTACTTTAATATATTATTTATGATTTACTGTATTTCTTCAAATCTAAGACACCATTGATTTGAAGATACACCAGCATTTTATAAGTCATTAAGCAATAAAAAATTGTTCCAAACAGTTTATTATGACACACTATTGATTGCAAGATACATCCTTATTTCAAAGATTTTTTAAAAGCCCCCAGAATGTGCATTTTAGGAGCTGTAAAATATGGTAGTAAAATGGAAATAAATATTTAGTATTATCACCCACACTTCTTTGACATTGCTCTCTCTTGCAATAAAATTTATAGACTTTCATTATGTATATTTAGCACATAGCCATTTTATAGGGCTTCTGTTCATAATACACATATGTATAATCATATACTCTATTATACAGTGTTATGTATAAAGTTATACATATCTATATATTTATAATAGTGGAGAAGCAACAAAAATAAATTAATTTTTGTTGGGCTTCTGTTTACTCAGTTTAGTTGGATGGCTTTATTCAAGTCCCCATGAATGAAAAATTCACCACTAGCCTTCAATGTTTAGGTTGAGAACAGAAATATTAAAAGATCTGATTTATTAATTACTGATAGATATGAGCCAATGAATAGACTGCAGCGATATCAAACACATCTTTCCTTTTTTGGATCCTTCAAATAATCATTAGTCTCAATGATATTTATTAATTTTCCAAATGCATTTAATGCAATAGTATATGAAGTGAGCCTAACTCTTCCTCATTCTACAGGTGAGAAACCAAGGTCAAGAGATGTTGAGTGACTCTAACTCCCAAGTCACACAAGAGTTAGAGGCAAGGCAGGGATCTAAAGCCAAGTTTCCCTCTTCTGTGTTAGCTCATTTCCTGTTGACTCCATATAAGAAATACCACTCTGAATCTGCTGTGGAAGCTGGTGCTTCAGTTTATAACACAAATCGACAACTTAGGAAGAAAAGAGAGCTTTTTCCCCTCCCTGCAATCATTTACTCAAGCAGGAAAATACTAAATGCTGTCTTTGTGTAGAATATAATGTTAGGTGATGTGAAGAAGAGAAATTCAGTGCCTGGCACCAGAAAGGAATGAATCATATTTGTGGGAAGGAAAAAAAAGTAGTAAAAACACAGATTTGAGTCTCAACTCTACCATTTTACTAATTAAGTGACTTTGGTCAAAATATATGACCTCTCTGAGACTTGGTTTCCATATCTGTAAATGTGAAAAATAAAAACCACTCAACAGGACTATTGTGAGAATTAAATCAAATATAGAAGAACAGCTCTGGCTCACAGTAGCTGGAAAATATTCACTTCCACTAAGGAAATGGGACAATTTCCCTCAAAGAGCTTATATTCATAAAGAGACAAAACACACACACATGCAACCAATCAATCAAAATGTGACACAGTAGATTATTAAGTACATGCTCTGATTAAAAAGGAAAAAGAAAGAAAAAAGAACAGACTGGTTCTACCAGTAGTTTTCAAAATAAAAGAAATCTAATTATATGGTAAAAATGACTAAAGAAAAAGATCAAGAGAAAAAAATGGGTAGCTGACATGTCTCCAGTTCTCATTTTCTTTACATCCCCTAATTATGATTTTGATCCATAACTTGATTGTTGTTAATGTAAGACTATGTTCATTTAGTATACTATACTAATCCACTAATATAATTTAGAAAACATTGTGTTTTCCTACTAATTTGTGAATTGCATGTGTTTTCATTACTGTAATGACATATGGTCACCATTTCTCCAAGAGTGTGTGGCAAAATCCCCATCAGAATAGATATTATTACAACCAACATTTCTGTAGAAGAGATCTATCTCCCTGCCCTGGAAAAAGCCAGCTTATTTCAAATAGGCATTAGCTAAATCAGAGTAAGCCTTTTGGGCAGCATCCTGTTATGGGCTTTGACCTGTAAAAGTAATTGAAAGTATTATTCTACAAAAAATTTCTATAACTACTTTGTATGTCACTAGGATCATCAAGTTATAGAAATTTTGATGTAGATGAAAGTACTGTGGATGTTATATAGTTCTTTCCCAATGCTTGGAATAGAATCAGAGGTGCCTATAGAAATTAGGATTTTTCTGCTAACTGTAACTTAACACAGCCATGCAGACAGGGTCATGTGCAGCCACCACGGTAAGTAGAGACATGCTCAGATGAGTTAAGGAAACGCTACAGGTGAGAGCCTTGACCTCACATTCCAGGATAAAATGAATGCTTCTCTTTACAATCTGGGATACCATTAAGTGATGGAGAGAAAAAGAAGGAGTAGGCAAGAGGTCACTGGTGTTCTTAGACAAAATTTGTTAAGACTAGGAATGTGGTAGAATAGAGTATATTTTGATGTTTTAATGAAAAAATTACGAAGATCAGTTTTATGAATCTACCAACAAAACTGACAAGAAATCACACTGAAAATGATTCATTTTCATTACTGGCTTCCTTCATATAAATGTTCACCTCGTAGATGTAAGTATGTCTCAGTGTTTGACTTAACGCCTCTTGTTAGCTATTTTAATTATATCTAGCTTGGTATCTTTAAATCCTTTCACCAATGTCAGGAGGATACTTGAAATGTGTAAGTGTGTAATTCTTATTGGATAAAATAAAAATTTAACATAATCTAGTATAGCATAATTTTACAGTTTAGGGACTATATTTAGGCAGGAAGGTGACAAATATAAAGCATTAAGAAAGTAGATTGAAGAAATACCCCACAGAGAATATATACATATGAACATACATACAATTTTAATTGCAATTCTCTAAGACCTCTTACTAAAATATTTAAAGAATGTATCTGAAATGTAGACTACTTTCAAACAGTAGATTTAGTAGCTCTGGAAAATTATGACCAATATTCCAATTTCAGGACAATTCTTTTGAGCTTTTCAATTTCCCCATGTTAATAAAGGATGCACGATGATAGAGATGAAAATAATGCCTGTGGTTTGAGTTTTTAAGAGGCACATTTTCCTAATGCTGCAGTCTAGTCCTTCCCATCAAGATTACTAATGAACCAAAGATCTCTCATGTCCTTCCATTTTCCAGATGTGCCTCAGTGTCATCCTATGCCATTGAACTAAAAGACTTACATGACAATGTAAAATGGAAATTAGATGTTTAGAAATCATCCTTGTGTGATGCAACCCTAAACTCTATGCTGATATTTATATTCTTCTTCCCTCCCCCACGTACTTCACCCATGACTACAACCTAATATTTCCCTCTCAAAATATGGGAGTATAAAGAAGTATAATTGTCGTTAATGTGACAATGCAAACATATGTAACCCCTCATTGCCTAACCTGACAGCATGAATCCATTTTCACACTGATGTGTGAGATGTATTGACCAGTTTTCCAGAACATCATATCCAAACCAGCATTACTCACATAAGTAGTCACTGAACTGTTTCCAAATTAACCTAATAAAAATAGCTAGCTAAATTTAAACAAAATCAGGACTATTCAGCCAGTGAAGGAAATTAGTTTAAATTATATTTGTGCTTTTATGCTAAGCCTCTTTTCCTAAAGAATGTTTATTCCTGAGCTTTGGTTTTGTTTTGTGGTTCTAAAATAAGGAAGGACAAGTGTACTTTAAATCTTGCTTTTTTTAGTCATATATATTCTTTATATGTTTTATATGTTCCTTAGTCAGTGATCAAAATTTGGGGTCGCAATTTTGATAGTCAACCTAAGCAGTTACTTTCCTCTTTTTCATGGAACCCTAAATCATTCACTTTACGGTTCAACTTTTTTTTATAATTCATACCCAACTTGTTTCCAAAAAACATTTAAGATGTTACTTTAAGATGAAATGCGAGAGAATTTTTGAATTCACTCTCCTTTTCCCCTACCAATTTAGAAAAAATAAATTTCTTTTAAAAACATCTGTATCCACAAAAATCATATGACAAACAAACAAACAAAAAGCCTTCATGGCAGCTTCAAATGTTTTTTGTATTTAAAAAAAAAAAAAAACAGCAAAAATCGTTAATGTACATATTTACTAATGTAGCAGGAAAATGCTATTTGCAAAATCCAGAGGTTCAAAGTTTCGAAAGACTGTATTTGTACTGTCTCCATACATGAGGGTACTTCCAAAAGTTCATGGAAATTCGCATATTTGGAAATTTGCATATAATCTTTTAATTCTATTTTTCCATGAACTTTTGGAAGTACCCTCACATAGCTAGGTTGTGCATAACGATGAAGATAGAAAAGATCATTTTTCTTTCATAGGCCAATACTTAAATCTATTTGTTCTCAAGCCACTTTTCAAAATGAATTCACTATCCCTATCCCAGATTTTGTCTCTGTTTTGTTTTGTTTTTTCCCCTGGCCGGTACAGGGATCCACACCTGTGACGTTGGTGTCACAGGCTGAAAACCATTCTCAAGTTCCTGAAAAATCTCACCTTCTAATTAGGCTTTAAAGTTGCAACTAAGTAAAACTATTTTCAGGCTGTTTCCTTATATCCTCTGCTCCTCCTAAAACTGTGCTTTGCGCTAGGGAAACGAAAGTATTCATGCAAGTGCACATATTTGATCTTTTACTCCCTGCAAATTTCCCTAAGACTTCAAGCAAAGCAAGTCGTCTTCCCTGTCGCCTCTCAGGCCTCGGGCTTTAAACAGAGCTTTGCACACTGGACCGAAAAATCGGAATCAGGCCCCGACCTTCCCTGTCCTTAAGGGCCAGTGCAGCCACTAAGCTAGGCAATGGTTCTCCCCGGCTAGGGAGGTGAAGCCGCAGGAGGAGGAACCCGAGGTGGATGTGTGGGAGCTGCTGAAGAACGCCAACCCCAACGAGTACGAGAAGATCGCCTTCCAGTACGGCATCACCGACCTGCGCGGCATGCTCCGGAGGCTCAAGCGCATGCGCAGGGTGGAGAAGAAGAGCGCAGGTGAGCCGCCATGGGGCGCGCCAGCGCGGGCCCCACCTGTGCGCGCGACCGTCGTCACCGCGAGCCCCAGCCGGTACTCCTCCAGGACTCCCACCGAGTTGGGGGGGTGGGGGTGGGAGGGGCTGGCTGGCGGGCGAGGCGTGAGTTACGCTTCCCTGGGTTCCCTTGGACTTCAGGTGGGGCAGGTGGCTGCCCCGTATGTCGCCATGCGGGTGGCGGACAGCTCCTGAAGTTTAGGCAGCAGAAACGCACAGCACCGCATACAGCACGGGGCGGAGTGTAAATCGCCCGATGCCACTGGGAATGGCTCACGGCCTGCTTTCTCCAGCCTCCACATCTCACCCGCTGTCAAATGTGGTCCTTACTTAGGCAGAGTGGATGCTATGTCTCTGCGTTTATCATCATATTCCTCCCATGACCTGTGTGATGGTCGTGAGCACTTCACTTCTCACGCCCAATACGGTTATCGAAGTATTTTTTTAAAAACAGCTACGCTGCTCCCTGGGGATCTGAAGTGGATGCAGTTCGTTGTGGTTTTAAACACCTTATTAAAAGTGGAAAAGAAGAGAGACAGAGAAAGGAATACATTTAAAATTGATCGTTAGTTCTTCAACGTTTCCTGTACTTGGTTATTGTCAGTTATTTGTTTTATGACATAAAATATATCAACCCTGGGCAGACCCCGTGGCTCACTCGGGAGAGAGCGTCGCTGGGAGCGCCGAGGGCGCGGGTTCGGATCCTGTATAGGGATGGCTGGTGCGCTCACTGGCTGAGCGTGGTGTGGACCACACCGTGCAGAGGGTTGCAATCCCCTTACCAGTAACTATATATATATATATCCTATTATTGTTTATTGTTTTGTTAATGTTCAAATAGAATTTAAAGACTCTCACCTCTTTTTAAAAATCTGCCCTTTATTTGTAAACCTCCCCGTAAACTGATTGAGAAACAGCCCCAGAGAAGTATAGAAGAGTTTGGTTTTGCTTTCTTCTGTTTTGCTCTTTTTATGTAACTCGGCCACTATCTCAGAACTCCTGAAGTCACATTTTTGAGAGGTGTCTGGGACTGTATAGTCGCAAACATGAATGCTACAGTGGAAAGCCAGCTGACATTTCTTTTTCCCACGCTGGCCTCTCTTATTCTTATCACTTAGTTCTGAATTTATACTTTAAGGTATATGATAGGTAGATTTTTTTAAAGCTAGTGTTTATTTTATCTCGTTAAAATATGAGGAAGCTTGCTTAAGCAATAGTATTATAAGATTGGAATGGTGGAAATACAAGCGTGACAGCAGGAAGCATTTCACACTTATTTTTTAAAGCTAGTGTTTATTTTATCTCGTTAAAATATGAGGAAGCTTGCTTAAGCAATAGTGTTATAAGATTGGAATGGTGGAAATACAAGCGTGACAGCAGGAAGCATTTCACACTTATGTATATTTTCCAAATTAAGTAAGAATTATCTTTAAAATAAGAAAAAAGAATTTTAAGTGTTAACTACTTTTGTTTAGGATTCATTAAAGACAATTTTTTAAAAAAATTTACTGTGTTCTATGTTAAGATATTTGGAAATCTTGAGTTCCTAACCATAGATGCAAAGGGTTTTTTTAAAAAATACCACTATTTGAGTAAATTTCCACAGTACAAAAACTTCGATAAGCCTACAATTTCAATTAGTCAAAGCCATTCAGTTCAATCTTATGAATCACTGAATTTGTCATAAAAAAACTATTTGTGAAATAGAAGAAGTGCAAAAATAATGCCAGGAGTCTTAATAGTAATCATGCTAGGAGAACTAGCATGTTCTTAACATTCAGTTTCATTTGGATGCATTATATTGTGCATTCCCTGAAGAACTAGGTCATTTTTAAAGCTTCTTGAACTATTCTTTTATGTTTCTTCCAAAAACATGTGGATTCTTTAAAAATTTTTAAAACTATCTTATTGTATATAAATTGACACAGAAATCTAAAATATAAAGGGTAGTTTGGAATGTCCCCAATTCTTTTCTTTTCTGAGAGTCATTTTTTATTTGTTTTTAGGTTCTCATACATATACGGACTATTTAAATTCATAACATCTGAATATGCATATTAACATACTTTTGCTTCTTCTATCTACCAGCTTTTTCAAAAATTCTTGATCCTGCATACCAGGTTGACAAGGGAGGCAGAGTAAGGTTTGTTGTGGAACTGGCAGATCCAAAGTTGGAGGTGAAATGGTATAAAAATGGTCAAGAAATTCGACCCAGTACAAAGTAAGTGGGCTTTGCAAATAATCAGTGATAACCATAAATAAATCAAACTGTAGTTTGGCTTAATTCTCTGGGAATAAAAGAATTTTTAGTTATATCTTTATAATGCAAAATCATATAGAGAGTAAAAATTTCAGTCACTTTTCATGTATTTTGGAACCATTAAAATTATAGTGCTATATAAACTAAACCTTGTTTTATGTTTAATTCTATGCAGAGTATTTCAAGTGATTCCCGATTTTGGTTTTGTGTCACTACAGGTTATATGAGTATATGATTATTTCAGAGCATTGCCAAACTTCTCCAAATTTTTTAAAATAAAATTTAAAAATAAGTTAAAATACATATTTGATATGCCAGCTGGAAGTCATACCTTATAATTAGATGACTTTCATTTTTTCAAAATATTCAATAATGGCTCAATACCTTCTGTATTCAATTCAGGCACTGTTTTGAACACTTAACTCATGATATTGTCTCTGAATGGAACTATTTAGTGTTGTGATCTAATGAAATACAGATCTAAGCCTGTGTTTTATTATTTCTTGGCCCACTCCCAAATGAAGGAGACAGCCTAATCCCTGCTGTCTGATGGTATCTCTAGTCTATTATGAAACTACTTTACAGAGATCCTCCTCAGCCTGAGAGATTTTCAACTCCAATGTATTTTTTTAAGTTAACAGGAGCCACGTGTACATTTATAAAAGACTTTAATCCTGGAAATCTGTCACTTCTGGAGTACAATCAGGTGGTTTCCAATTTCTTAATGTGGTCATGCCAATGCAGTGACTCTGATGATAATGTTTATACTTCATGTAAAAATCTCTTGAAGGTGGCCTGAATTTACCAAAAACATAATCTTAATTGGTTATCTTTATGTAGAAAATGTTGTTTATTATTTGTTCTTGAAATCTTCAGTTTGAGAAATTCCCAAACGAGTTTTTTTTTTTTTCCTAGTCTATTATAATGCCCAAATGTGCTTCTCCATAATCCAGGTCACAGATAATTAAATTTTACAGTCTTTCAGGCTTCTAGTTGTGTTTCCAAATACTCAAATTCTTTTTTATTAGATGGTAACTGTGATATGATAGCACCAGTTCTTAAGCTCATTTAAGAGAACATCCCATGCTATAGAATTACTGCCGGTATTAGTGATTAAGGTAATATTATTGCTTAAATTATATAATCATTTATTGACCCAACAAAATCTACTGTGTCATTGGGCTAGGCAATGAATGGAATATATGACAATGAATCAAATCAAATCTCTTCCTACTTCTAAAGTACATGAATTGGTAATTCAAAGAATGTACCAAATTCTTGAAATTCAGAGCCAAAAGCAGAGCCCTTAGCCAACCCTATTTTTTTTACCAGTCAGTTAAAAAAATTAAATAGCAAGAATGTAAGTACTGATTCATATTTGAAATAAAAACTTATGTTAAGGAAAATATAACAGAAATGAAATGGTATGT